GATGCATTATTTGAAACAATCTTCTCCACTAGTTCTTTCTCAACCTCAGATGGCAAATAAGGAAAGGTTCCACCACCCAAAGCATCCAACATCATCTTCCCTTCATTGTTGAGTTCGCTATAGAAGTAGAAAAGAACCTTACAATTAGTCAAATTTCCCTGAGGGTAAGCTCTTCTCAGCACCTTGAATCTCTTCCATGCTTCAGCCAGTGTTTCTAGAGATCCCTGCTTAAACTTTTGTAGTTGCTTCTTCAACTTCAGGGCCTTTGACGTAGGGAAGTACTCTTTAATAAAGGCTGGTCCCAAGTCTGGAGGTGGTGGTGAGCATTGCTGTCCAACCACCTCTGCGCATCGTCCCTCAATGAGAAAGGGAAAAACATCATTCTTACCTGATCATGAGTTAACCCAGGTATCTTGAAAGTCTGGCACATCCTCAGAAGGCGGGTAATATACGCCACTGGGTCTTCTGTAGGGCCTCCTCCAAATTGGTTATTAGACACCATGCTTATCACCACCGGCTTGATCTCGTAATGGTTGGCAGTAATTCCCGGAACTTGAATGTTATCATACTCTGAAATGGCTGGCGTAAGGAACTCTGCAATGGTCTGGCACTGATAGAGTGGATTATTGTGCGGTACGAAAAACTAAAACAGACCGTTGAGTTAAATTAACCCTTAAGACCGACACAGTCCCCGGCAACGGTGCCAAAAACTGATGTTAGTTTTCTCGCACTTAAAAAGGTTGTAGAAAAGTGGTTGAAGGTACGAGTATCGTCTCCACAAGGACGGTAAAAAGGGAATTAAGGACTAACTAAAATCAGCGATAAAGAACGGAAATAAAATAAATGCAGTCGTGCGAGATTTGGTTGATTTGAAAATTAACTAATGCGAATGAGCGAATAAAAATAATTGATTGGGTTCTTCTTAATTAACGACGAAGGGAACAGGGACTGATTCCGGGGTAATCAGATTTCTGGCAGATCAGGCCTAATTACATGAATTTAATTTAATTGAGCTTAGCTAATCAATACTAAGTTCTTACCGCTCTCGCGGCGTAGAGTACAATAATTTAGGGGACCAGACTGATCTCTCATGCGACATGATCCTAAATGATTGATAAGACGAGCGAGCTTACGTCCCCTTAATCGCTATTAATCTCTTAGCGAGCGGTTAAGTGTGTGTGAATGTGTCCTAGAATAAACTAGATCTCTCTTAATTTATTCTACAAACAATTGTAATTCTAGCTGCGGTTCCAGATTACAAAAGATATCAGTTAAATTATTCAAACACAACTTAAATGGCATTCATGCAATTAATCCATCAAGAAACTAGCCATACATCGTGATCAACCCCTTCATCAATCTCAAATCCCTAATTAAAACTACTCCCGACTCATAATTGAAGAATCAATAGAATTAGGAAAACTAAAATAATTGTCATTAATTAAAAAGTAGGAACTTACAAAGAATCTCAAAGAATTGATAAATCAGGCTAAAAAGCTCTCAAAATTCGTCCTTAAGCTGCTCTCTAAGTTCCATCCCCCTTAAATGGGAGCATAGAGGCCTTATTTAAAGAAAAAGAGGCAAAATATGACTAAAACTAGGTTTTCGGACCCACACACGGTGCTACGCATGGCGTGCGTGGAGTCCGTGCGTCCAGAACAAATCGCGCGTTTCGCGCCTACACACGGAGTTCGTAACAGCCACGCACGGCGTGCGTACCCTCCAGTAGCTTCCTCGCTTCGGCTCTTGTGCACGCACGACGTGCAAACTCAGCACGCACAACGTGCGTGACTGGCAGTAGCTTCAGAGTTGTTTCCTATCCGAATTTGACAATGCTTCCTTCATAAAAGTTGTGGCTAATGAAGTCTTTTATTCACCACAACTTGCCAAACTGTATTTGGATCATCCAATCAAGAGAGATGAATAAAATGGTGGAAGGTCTCATTCTGAAATCGCAACAGCGATCATCTGACTTCATCATCTTTTTTCACCTTTCTCCTCTCCGATTATTTAAATAAAGTCTTCATATGATTTGTAGCCTTTGAAGTTAGCTTTCATATTCAACTTGAATTATGTCTTTTGAATGCTTCTACAAAGAGATATGCTTGAACGATTGACAGAAGGTCATCCTGAATGCCGTTTTCAAGCTTTATTTGTCTTCTTTTGATCCCGTAACCGATTCGAGAGCTCTTTTGTCTTCAAATCTTCATTGTGAACCTCCCGGTGACCTTCAAAGCTTTCAATTATCTCTCGAATGCATCATCAATAATCCCGATTGCTTCTCAAGTGCCGATGTTGGGCTCAAATTCCCTGATTTTGACTCCAAAAGACATAAAACCCGAACCAATGACTGGTAACATAATCTTGAGCTAAAATTGAGATTTGTAACACCTTAAAGCTAGGAAAACCGTCACAAGTCGATCCCAACACGCATCAAATGCGTGCCTAAATACGGACTTATCAGTTGGCTTCCTAATTAGGCCCAACGGCTATTATTTATTACTCCGTGTTAATCTCGATTAATGGGCTGATCCCGTTGATGAACTTTGTTTTATTTCAATCTTGGGTCATGACGGTTATCCATGGTACCATCAATATACAACCTAATGTGTTCCCAAATATGCATCCAGTAGAAAAAGAAAGGAAAATAGTCAAATCAATTATCGAAATATATTAAAAAAGTCAATTAAATCATCGGACTAAAAACCGCTCAATTTAGACCTTGAACCTTAGAATAACATTCAAATGTCTAATTTACCATTTTAACTTCCCGTTAACTTGTTAGTATGTATACGTTGCATGCGATTTGGCATTTTTTACTTTTTACTTTTCACCTACTTTCTTCTCCAGCCCACTCCATCTTCCATTCATTCTTCTTCGACCCGTCTCACCCCTCCTTTCTTTGTTCTTCAACTGGCTCCATCTGTCCCTATTATTTCTCCTACTCATTTTTTGCGCAAATCTCAATCAAATCATTTTTACTTTTTTATTTCACACTAATTCAAATCATTCAAATTTTTTTAGGATGAAAAAAATAATAAATTGGGTTTAGAAAAATCACCTTGTTTAGAGTTCGTTTGGTGACTTTGTTTTTCTCTTTACCAAGCTTAGCAGTCAACTTTTTTTACCAAACATGCAACTTTTTGATATCACGCACTGAATTGTGTAATATGAAATTTTATGGTTGAAGTTTCTTTTCTGACTGTATTGACTGAAGTCACTGTAAATGATGATTTTAACTATTTTTCATATAATTTTTTCTTTATTTTATTCATAAAAAATATCTTAAATATGATTTTTTTCATAAATCAGCAAAATCATTCCATCCAACCAGACCTTCATAAGTTTGGGTAGAATTTGGGTAGAATGAACCATTTAAGCCAGTGGCGGAACTAGGGGGGGGGGGGGGGGGGGGGAGCCGGTGCCGGCGCTCCACCTTCTCCGACGGTGGTTCTGTATATATATATATGTATGTATATATATATATATATATATATATATATATATATGTATGTACATATATATATGTATGTATGTATCTACATATATATATATATGTATGCATATATATATATATATGTATATATATATATATATATGTATATATATATGTCTATATATATATGTCTATATATATATATATATATGTCTATATATATATATATATGTCTATATATATATATGTATGTATATATATATATATATATGTATATATATATGTATATGTATATATATATATATATATATATATATGTATATATATATATATGTGTATATATATATATGTGTGTATATATATATATGTGTATATATATATATATATATATATATATATATATATATGTATATATATGTATATAATTCAGCCCCGGTTCAGAAAGTATTCATATATTAAAGTGGAGTCGCTATTTAAATGTATGAGTTGTGATAGTTCAAATGATAGGGTTGAGGTTGGAAGAGCTCTGTCTACCTAAATGGCCCGGGTTCAATTCTCAGGAGCAACAATTTTTTTTTTGCTTTCTCCATTATTGCTTCTTTAGACTTTAGTCCATTTGGTAATTATTTATGTTCAATTAAATCACTCTAGGATGTAATGTTGTTTAAATCACACTTTTTGAATTTCTATATCTTTTATTTTAAATTCTCATTTCTTCAATTCAAATTAATTTTAATCATTTCTTCTTCTAATAATGACATATACGGACGTTGTCATTTAATGTCAAGAATAATTCTAAAACTACTTTAAGTTAATATAAGTATTTACCTTTTGTTTAGTATGATAGCATTTTTATTTGAAACACACTACATATACATATATATAAGTTTCGGATCAAATAAAAAGAGTTCTTATCATGAAAATTGATCGAACATAAATCTTGTGCATTTAACTTGAGATCCGATGAGTCAAAATCAGTCAACAATGCACTATATTTTATCAAAAACTCGGTGACAATTTGATAAATAAATCAAAATTTTTTCTCATTGTGAAAAAGTGTAAAAAAATATCTACTAGTGTACCAAAACGAGTAAAAAATGCGTCCGTTCTCATTTTTCACGGGAATAACTTTTTTATTAGAACCTCACTCTACATGTATTAATAATTATTTTTCACTCGTTTTTATTTTATCCTAATAAAAAATTGTTTTTCAAAAAAATAATATAAGAGCACCTTCTCAAATTATTGTCTGGTTCCGCCGCTGATTTAAGCAAATATCAATGTTACCCATCTATCTCCATTCGAAATCTCATTTTCTTCATGTGCTTAACATTGATGATGTTTTAAAGAAGGGAGAGAATAATGTAAGATACAGTAATAAATAAAAGAACTATTAAAAACGTGGTAGAAAATAGTCGTGCAAATTAGGAGCACGTTGTGCGTGGGCACGAACACCACTCAATCATGGATGTGACAGATAAGAAAACAGAGAAGATGGTCGGCAAAATAAAAGGAGAAAACTGAAAAAGATAATAGTTTCCCTAATTAATTAATGCTCCAATAGTTCATATCCAACTCCAGGCATGCCCATAAATACCCCTATTCACTTCTCAGCAAGTTCCACCATACCCAAAACCTCTCATTCCCTCCTCATTTCACTTTCTTTACTTTCTTGGTAAAAAAATCCAATCTTGATTCTTGAAGTTAGCTCAAAGCTGAAATGACCAAGAACATGGAGGTTGGCACTGAATATGCCGCGGCAAAAGACTACCATGACCCTCCCCCAGCACCCCTGATTGACCCTGAAGAGCTGGGCAAGTGGTCCTTTTACAGGGCTGTGATTGCGGAATTCATCGCCACTCTGCTGTTTCTGTACATCACAGTGTTGACTGTGATCGGGTACAAGAGCCAGACTGACCTCACGGTCAACGGCAATGAGGCGTGCGGCGGCGTGGGCATTCTTGGAATTGCTTGGGCTTTCGGTGGCATGATCTTCGTTCTTGTTTACTGCACTGCCGGTATTTCTGGTATGATTTCTGGAAACTGCAATTTTTTATTTATTTATTGCTGTACTGGAATCTACAATTTTAATTACCAATATTGCTCAAAGTATAATAGATACTTCGTATATATAACAGTGGTGCTATACACAAAATTTGAACACACCTGACACACATTTGTACACGGAAAATTATTGGACGACTTGACTGTCTACGTAGATAATCAAGGGTGTACACATTCTCTGTGTGAACAGAATATTATGTACAAATGTGTGCTAAGTATGTACAAATTTCGTGTATAAATAGTTTTTTTCATTTCACACACTCACTCATATATCTGTTTTAAAATTTTTGTGTTTTTTGACGAATTACATATGTGCATAAACAATTTGGAGTGAGCGATTATAAAAACATGTAAAATGACATGTACAAAGAAAAAATGGTAAATATAATGTCAAGCTCAAAACATGTGTAAGAACGTGTAAAATGTCGTGTAATATTCTTAATTTCTTATTTTCTTTTTCTTTTTAATTTCTCAATGAAAGATTCTTTTTAACGTCTCAATTAAAAGTTTCCCTTTTATGTTTTAGAAAATAAAAAAAAATACCGCTCTTTTTTTATCAATTTTCCTTATATGTACTCTCTGTCTCATTGGAAAGTTCACACTTTTCTTATTAAGATTAAGATGTCTCATTTAAAGTTTCTCATTCCATTTCAGAAAATAATTCAATGACATCTTTATTTATATGTTTTTCCTAACCATTTCATGTCAAGTCTCATAATCCCCCAACTTATCTCCCTTTAATTACTTTCATTTTATATATTTGCTTTATCTATATAAAAAAATTCCTCTCTTTTTAACACACGGGTACTTTTCAACATGACGCAGAGAGCATTTCTTTCATGATAATATACGTCGTTGACTCGTTTCTCTCGAAAAGTTACCATGGGAACCATTGGTTTGAATTACTCGTTTAAATATGTTTTAAATATGTTTTCGATGGATTAGAATGCTCTGTAGTCTTTACGTTAATTTATTGATTGTCTAGATTTGACAAAGTGACACAATTTAAAAAAAAATCAGCATAAAAAATTATCCAAAAGGCACTACCGAAAAGCCACGGGATTGACCGAGATTTTGGCAAGGATTTAGGCAAAGATTAAGCAAAATCCGTGCCAAAAATACTTTGGATCGAAATATTTGGCATAAAAAGTCGGTGATCCGTGCCAAATTCCGTGTCAATCACGTCTTTTTTTGTAGTGAGGAATTACTTATTTATCTGTTTCGAACTTTGATCTCATTGAGAGTGTCACAATAATGACATCGAAACACAACGTGCTTGTCACTTAAAATAAGGTTTAAGCACGAAAACATGACACTCTTATTTGCGAATTAGGTAGGTTCAAGTGTAGTTTATAATATTAATTGAAATCATGGTTAAAAGTGTAATTTATTTAAACTTCGTAATCTGAAACAGGATAAACAAATTGAATTGGGCTGTCTAAAGTCTAAACCGCTTTGTCTAGAATACCTTAACTAAGAGCCTCTCTTGTTCATGTTCCTGGAAAAATGTAAATTAAACAGTGCTACCTACTTAAATAAATTCTAATTCATATAAGATCAATTTTTTTTTTAAAAAAAAAGTTGTCCCGGAACAAATCTGTTGCTACAAGTATGGTTATTAAAAAAATGAAACTATGCTCTAAGTCCCTAACACATAGTTGAGATTTTCTTCAATAAGGTAAAGAAAAAGAAGCACATTTTTTCCCAAGAAAACTAGAGGAAAATCTTGAAAGTCAAGATAACAAGAAAATAATATTGAAATTTGAAATGTTGTTTTGGGTATAGGCGTAATAATGTAGTGTAGAGTAGAAGTCATCCCTACCATTTGCACCAATATTTACAATAAAATAATGATGTTTACGTGTAAGAATATTTGGCACCACTTTCATGCTAATGGCTTACACCACTTTTATCACTGAATATAAGTGAATAGTTTCTTTATAGGAGTATATTCCACTCTACCTATTAAAACTCCACCAGATAACCGTTGACTTTTTGCTATCTTGCACTATCATGGTGATTGATTGAATCTAAGTAACATGAAATTGTAAAACAAAAACCATGAAATGGGAAATGAGAAATGTGACAAACATAATTTATAAACAGATAAATAATTATAATAAAGGTTTCTTTATAGTTCTATGAAAATTATATTAATATTCCAAAAGGAAATGCCATCCCTTGGATTTTGATCGAGATGCTTTAAAAAGAATAACAAAATTACATGTTTATGTGTGTATACTATTTACTATATGTTGGTTTGTACATTTATATCTATCACGGAGTACCAAGTACGTAGTGCTGTGATATGTTCTCATTAACAAAAAACACACAGGTGGACACATTAACCCGGCAGTGACATTCGGGCTGTTCTTGGCTCGGAAGGTTTCGTTGGTCCGAGCCATCATGTACATAGTGGCTCAGTGCCTAGGGGCAATGTGTGGGTGTGGGCTGGTGAAGGCTTTCCAGAAGGCTCACTATATGAGCTATGGTGGTGGAGCAAATGGGTTGCAAGATGGGTATAGCACAGGCACTGGATTGGGTGCTGAGATTATTGGAACTTTTGTTCTTGTTTACACTGTCTTCTCTGCCACTGACCCCAAGAGAAATGCTAGAGACTCCCATGTCCCAGTAAGTCATTTTTCCCTTTGTGATGATGAATAGCCTATTGTTCCCAAAATAGATATGTAAACAATGTGATTATAACTGCTATAGATATACCTCATGATCATTGTGTGTAAAATTTAACATAATCATGATCACTATAGTTATTATTATAGTCAGTTTGCTTATAAAAATCATATTTTTTGGAGCGTCTTCATCTTGATTAGCCATAGCCTATATGTCATGGTATCTAATGTGAATATTGCTAACTTCGTGGATGAAATTGATATGTAGGTTTTGGCACCACTTCCAATTGGATTTGCTGTGTTTATGGTTCACCTGGCTACGATTCCAATCACCGGAACCGGGATTAACCCCGCTAGGAGTCTTGGAGCTGCTGTCATGTATGGTAGACAAAAGGCCTGGGACGACCAAGTAAGCAGCTTCTGTAACTTTGATTCCCCCAATAGTCCCTAATAACAAGCATGGTTAACTTAGGTCGTCATTTGGTATCCATTCTTTTCGGCTTTTCAGTCTTATAAATTAGAGATTTCACCAAACACTAATTCATTTTAACTGTGCATTTTAAATAGGTAAATCCCACATACTTTTTTGACTGAATTGGCAGAGACAAGATTGATCATTGTTTGCCATTTTTCATTTTCTTGTTTGTGTTATATATGTTAGAATATTCAGTGGATTTTGAGAAATTAGCAAACTTTTTCATTCTGAAATGAAAACAGTGGAAAAGTAATGATTCTATATATTGACATAATGATAAAATTTATAATGTGTGTGACAGTGGATATTCTGGGTTGGGCCCTTTATTGGAGCTGCCATTGCTGCACTGTACCACCAATATATTTTGAGGGCAGGAGCAGCCAAAGCACTGGGGTCCTTCAGGAGCAATGCCTAGCTAAACTGGTGCAGTGGAGTGTGAGCCAATTGCATGGAGGAATTGTAAATACAAAGAGCAATGATTGGATATATAGTTCTGTTACTAGCTGGCTCTGTAGATTTGGCACTTGGGGTTTTTAGTGTGCCAAGTCAAGAATGTGATAATTTCCACTTTCTCCAGTTTGCCTTTCACTTTCAATCCCTTCTTGTTTTGGCTATGTACTCTTTGGCATCCTGTTGTCATGCACAAGTAAACAATAAATGACTTGGCTCATCTTTGTTAGATCTACTTATCCAGATGACTCTTTCTTTGATTGCATCATTTCTTTGTTGTTCTCCATTCCTTAGTTAACTCACATGATATATATCAGCTTCTTTATTAGTCTCTTTGGGCTCAAGGGAGGTGAAGAGTATAGACAGAAGAGTCTAGACAACTCTAGAGCTGTCTAGACTCTTTATAGACAGAAGAGTCTAGACAGCTCTAGAGATCAGTTACATGAGTTACAAAATAAATTATAATATTAAATACAAAGATTTGTAACTGAAATATTAAATACAAATATTCTAATTTATTTTGTAACTCATGTAACTGATCTCTAGAGCTGTCTAGACTCTTCTGTCTATAAAGAGAACCCTGGTGTTTAGGGATTTTAACTTAAAGGTTACTTTGTTTAAACAAATAGTTAAATAGCATCAACTGATGTCAATTATTGGCTACTGCAACAAAAACAACACCATCCAAGTCTTATTCCCAAAAGATTTTGGGATCGACTACTTATTAAAAATAATCTTAAATATTCAAAATTATACTTGTATATTTTTTCCTGACCAACTAGACTACAACGGAATATTCAAAATTATATATTAATAGGCAAACCATTCAAATAATAATAATAATAATAATAATAATAAGGAAAAATCATGAAAACAGAAGCAAAAACTTTTAGAAATTCCAAAATAGGATTGACATGTTTTTATTTTTTGAATAAGAGTAATTACTGTTAATGTTGAAAAATGCGTGATGTTTAAAGTCTTGTACTACTTGTCTAACCATGACAACAATTACTCCTATTTAGAAATAAAAACATGACCGTCCTGTTTTGAAAGTTACAAACGTTTTTACTTCGATTTAGGACACTTTGCTCGATAATAATAGCATTATAGTTATTATTATTACCATATACGGAGTATAATCTAAATCAGGAGAGCTTTAGGTGTTATATTCGAACAACCATTTAAGTCCTTAATGATAAAACATAGTCCAACACGATTTTCACTCTTTTTTCTTTTAATCAATATGTGTGTGTGGGCGCACGCCTTTATTTTTTTTGGCAAAAGATAACTTAATTGATATTAAAACAGAGAACCAGATACAGGTTCGCCATAACAAAGGCTACACTGAGGTAAGACTCAGAGTTGGAATCACGCTTACTAGCGGTCCATCTCGCTAACCCTGCAATATGGTAGACTCCATTCACAACAATGCTGCACCTACTACTAGAATGAAACGCTAAAAACATAAAAGAGTTCTGAGATGACAACAAATCAAAAGGAGAACATAATCCAGTTTTTCCAGCCACTGACAAGGAAACAACGGTTTGACCAGCCTCCGCCAAAGGATTCTCGTGTTTATCCTCCAAATCTTCTGCTACTGGCGGTGCTTCCAAGACAGCATCGCCACTTCCAAGTTTTTTGGAGTTGCTGCATCCACCTCCATGCTTGCCTGATCCCCCTCCTCACTATCCTTCTCGGTGACCCTATGTTTTTGTGTGCTTCCTGTGTTGTAACAATCTCCTTGCCCTTTGATAAGAGTCCTTCCACCAAATAACTTTCTTGTTCGCTTGTCATTCTGCCAAAGTCACCTCCTTCATCCCTCCTGTCTCCTAGCTTATTATTGCTAGGAATGAGCCACCTGTTGCCGGATGTGATCCACCTCGCCTTGTATCAGGTCTTAACCATGGCCCATAAGGCTTTTCCCCAATCCATGCACCACTATGCAAATTAGAGGGACAGAAGTGATCAGCATGACCAAGAATCTCGCACAGGAAACAACAATTTAGGAGTCTCTCATAGCGAAAGTTTGCTCAAATCCACAAACATAAACAACTACGTATGCCAAAGATCCGTAAAAAAGAAATCAAATGAAAGATACTGCCTATGAATTTGTACGGTCAAAACAGAAGCAGTACAAAAGAAAACCTACAGAGCCTAGCTAATTCCGTTCAGAAACGAACATAAAGAAGCATCTCGGCCAAGGAACAGCCGGACCAAACGACGAGCAAATCACCTGTAAATCAACAAGACTGGAAGCCAAACAAACCAAAGCATAAGAAGAAGGAACCTGACAGCGGGAAAAATGGCCTCTTTTCTCCTTCTTTTGTATAGAGAAAGATGTTATGTTTTCTTTTGGACTGAAATTTGTTAGTCTGGTCTTTTCTGTTTAAGTCCAGTCTAGTATGGTCTTGTAAACGTCTGGTCTTTGTGTATTTTATAACTATGAAAGTCTGGTTTGGTCTGATCTTTTTAAGTCTGGTCTGACTTGGTCTGATCTGTTTAAGTCTGATCTGGTCTGGGACTGAAAACAGTCCAAAAGAAAACATCCTAACTCTCATACTCACACTGTTACTAATAGGGCCAGAGGTTGAGGGAGGAGGGCAATCAGGTCCGACTCACCTCAAATTTTAAAATTGCTTGAATTATTAGTTTAAAAATTTGTGTGTAAAAATTTATCTGTTTTCTTTTGGTATCATCCCACTCCAACTCTTACTTCTAGTTATGTCCCCCTGATTACTAAGTTTCCTACTCGACATTTATTACTCACTCTGGTTTCAAATGATCCAAATATTACGTAGTATACTATTACACATATAGGCCCTGTTTGGCACTCAGCGGTTAGCGGTTAGCGGTTAGCGGATTTGGTTAGCGGGTAGTGAATGGCGGATTGAATCAGCGGATTTGACCAGCGGATTTGCTTGGCGGGTTGCAGAGAGATGTTTGGTAACTTAGCTGTTTGATTGTAGCAGATAATATGTAAAAAGACAAAAAAGGACATTTTAAAAATTTTCCATATATGAGACTATAAACACAAAGCAATTTATATGATGATCACAATCCTACAAAAATGCAGGGCAACACAAACATGGCAGACTACCAAGAGTTACATATCTATGAATTTACAAATAGCAATACCCATAGAAATCAAAACAAGATCCCAACGGAGTGTTCTATAGAAGATGATTAATACATACCTTTGAAGAGGAGAAAGCACTGAACGATGGGAGGGCAAATGAAGTCCGGACGTATCAGTAAGAAGGAATCAGTGGAAGAAATAACTCTGTGAACAAAGCGCAGTCCGAACATATGCTTCAAGCGGCGAAACCAAAAAGATGGGAGGGCAAACTAGTGAATTTAGTAATTATTCCAAACCGCCAAAACCTAAACGCTCCGATTTCTGGCGTTTTGGTTTTCGGCGGTTTCATAGGAATCGCTATCCTTACCCTCTGTTTACCAAACGCGAAATTCCAGCGGTTTGACCCATCCAAAACGCCAACACAGTCAAACCCTCTGAATTTTGGCGGATCCGTTGATATACAAACGCACCCATAGTGCAAGAGCAAGTTGGCAAGAATGACATAGTTGTATACCCAACCGGTTACAATAATGGCTTATGATACTCATTTGAGAAATATTCCTTATCGAGGATGTGAGAAGTGTAATTTTCAATCTTAATCCCAACAATATGATACCAAGATGGGTCAAGCATATAATAATTAAGGAGGATATAGTTGATGTGTGGATCCTTCAATGTAAGTGATATTCCTCTTGGGATCCCAATCACCACTATTTTGATTATTATTTTGTTTTGTCTCTTACTGAAAATTTACTTATTTAATCTTACTGAAAAATTATGAATTGATCACATTGTATTTGTTGTCCCTTAAATTAGTCAAATTGACTATTGTGGTCAATAATAATAAACTTTGAATAATAATTTTAGTTAATATGTGTGTGTGTGTGTGTATATATATATATATATGTATACAGTTGTGTGAAATTTGTAATTTTTAATTTTTATGAGAGTAATGTTATACGGATACATTATTAAAACTTTGAAGAGGAACTTTGCATGGAAATTTTGACATTTCATCCCTATTTTGTCCAACATTATTACATGATAAACTTGTTGTCCTAAAATGCCACTTTTCATATATTTTGGTCCTATTGTGAGAATTTCCTCATCCACTTATCCTTTAACACTTGTGGCCTCATTGATGTAGATCAAGGAATTTGGGTTAAATGAGGGTTTACCCCAAAAATTACTAAATTGAAACCAATTTCTAAAAATCTATTTTTGGAGTGTACCTATGTGCGAAGGGGTAATATATTTTGAATACACCAACGATTTAATTCATCACATACCTTCAAATTGAAAGTATTATTTTCATTGGGTATCTTATGCAGAAAGTTATCTTATACACAAAAATTATCATGAAGTGCAGATGATGTCCATCAAATTTAGTTGAAATTCCTCATGTGTCTAATATCCTCAAAAATAATATCATTATAGTGTAAGCCATTCGTCCGGTAGATGCAGTGAACAACTTGTTGAGCATCTGATTCAATTCAACTTCAACCTGCTGCCAACCCAATTCCAGTGCCCAGCGAACCGCTTCCTCGATGGCCATTGCTTCTGTCATCTCGGGAGAGAATCGTCCTCGTCTTCTCACACTTTTCCCTGCAATAAAATCCCCTCTATGATCCCCGAGCATTCAGTCCCAAGCCCCTTCCATCCCCTACATTTTGGACAGTAACATCAACATTAATTTTTATATGGCCCTCAACAGGTGATTTCCTACTATGTCTCCGTCCATCCAGAGTTTTTCTTTTTCTCGCATGCTGGTTCGCCTCCTGCCAACCCGAGAGAACCATATCCCCACACACAATTACTCCGTTGCAGTTTGGAATTTTATTCTTCCAAGTCTTCTCATTATGTGCCTTCCATAAATTCCAATTCGTGATGACGAAAGTGCAAAGCTCGTTCATCGAACTACTGTTACCTACCTCCGCAGCCCATTGTCCAAAGCTGGTTGTCGCTGATCGCAGAAAATTCCCCTTTATAATATTTAAATGTAAAAATGTACAAATATTCGCGCCAAATATACATTCGCTAAAATCCAAGAAAAAGCTGTTAAAAATTAAAAAATGATGTAATTAACTTTTTAAATATTTGTACATTTTTACATTTGAATATTATATTTTGATTATAATGGTTGGTGTTTTTTTATCATTTTTATATTATTTTTCTATTTCGACGTTGTTAACCATTTTTAATTATTATATTCCTAAGTTTTTGAAAACTACATAAGTTTATGATAAAAGATATCAATTTTCTTAATTATTTTT